AAAAAATTTAAATCATTCATATTCGTCATCGTTATTTCTTGTTGCAAAAAAAATTTTTTATATTTCTGATTTACACAATCTTTTGCACTTGTACTTTTTCGTCTTTACTGCTTGTTTATTTAAAATAAATCAGCTTTATAAAATATAACCTTTGTTCTAAAAAAAAAAAAAAATTTTTTTTTTTTTTTTGGAACTCTTATTCGACAATCCTAAGTTTAATGAAAAACATTTTTTGTTTACAGTTTATTCTAAAATTTTGCATTTCAACAAATTTTTGCTAACTTTTGTTAAAATACAAATTAAAGATAGATCATTTTGGTAGAGTAAGAATGCACAGTGTTTTCTAACAAAAGAGTAGACTAATAAATTCCTTTTGTTTTAGTAGGTCTGAGATTATATGCTCTACTGCAAGAGGGGAAACACCAAACGCTCCGGCCTCCAGTGGATCAGTAAGAAAGTTAATTTCTTAAATTTTTTCTTTATTATTTTAAACTTCTTTTGCTTTACAGCAAAAAGCTTCAAAGTTAATGCATACGTGACAGTTGTATTCTAGTAACATTTCAGAGCTGTTTGAGCACAAAGGTGTCATGCAGGCACAGTTCAGAGACTAAATTCAAATATCTGTCGCCACAACAGTACTTTACAGCTGCCCACCAATTCTCCAACAATTTTCGCACATCCGCCAAAGATCAAAAGCAAAAAATATTTCCATTTTTATTTAGATTAGAAGCTTTCACATTTAAAGTACTTGTAAAACTATCAGCCCCAGTAATTACATTTAAAAAAACAAAGACTATTTTAACTATTTTGAGTAACTATTTTTTTTCAGCTAGAAAAAGCAAATATCTAAGATACAAAGTTCTAAACGAATAAATACAAATTTAAAAACTGATATATAAAAAAAACTAACGTCGCCATTTTCAGCAAGTCACTAAAATATAAAAATTTTTACTGCAAAATTACAACTGTTTCACATATTTAAACCGTCTACAATTGTTTTTTGTTTTTTTTTTTTTCTTTTAATAAATCTGGTAAAATTTATTTGCCTATACTGAACCAAACGTAGCGCTCTATTATATTGTCTATTTGCTATTCACACATTCCAAATTCAAATAAATTGATATAAAATTTAAATGGATTAAAAAATTACATCAAATTCAGCATGTGCTTCAGGTGGATAAGTTTGAGTACATTGTCCGGAACCAGCAAGACGAACAATACCAAGACTTTTCTGAAGAGATGTTTTTTTTTCAGAATTGATTTTTGAGTCTTCCTGGTTGCTAGGTAGACCTACAGCTGATGGTTCTACTGAGTTCCAGTCTAAAAGTTTTTCAAACGCTTTCCTAAACTCTTTCTTCTCCAACGCAATTACTGTCTGCGCTGCAGATGCTGATGCTCGCAGCTCTTCACCGCTATCAAGACTTACCGTTTTATAGCCTCGAATTTTACCAAAAAGCTGAAAACAAACAAACTAAAACTTAAAATTCAACAATTTTATCTCAACAATTGATAGTAAAATTGAAATCTGTTATTAACTTACTTCGACAGTGCCGTACAGAAGTACAACGAACAGTAATAAAAAAACGTATTTTTGTCGTCTCCGGAAAAATGCAGAAAGCGTACGGTAAGTGGACATTATCGTCTGTTACGTTGGCATCAGAGCAAAGTGCTGACTTCCGTACCCCCCAAAAAAAAAGAAATTTTAAAATTTATTATAATTTTTTGCTAAAAATTTAACGTTTTAAAAAACGCATATTTCCGTCGTGCAATCAGTTCAGGCAATTTTTGTTGCCGTCAAGTCTGCATTATAACGACGACAGGTTTTGAAAAATTTTTAAAGTAATTCTATAGCAAAAATACACTAAATTCTGCTACATTTTGGCAGTTTCTAAATAAGTAAAAGTAGAAAAAAAAATTGTATAATTAAACAGCATATTTAAACAGAACAAACGTCGCAGGTATGTTATTGTTTTTGGTGTTCAAAACAAACAACGAATTGTTTCTAGTAAATATCGCGGTAAGCGTTAATAAACATTCTAAAAATGAAACAAAAGAAAAGAATGCAAAAGAAAAACGATTAAAAGAAAATTTTTCCA